GAGCTGCCGCCGCAGGGCGACGAGGATTTGGCCGCCGCCGCTGCCGCCGCCGCGGCGCGTCCTTCGATGGACGGCGTCCTCGTCGGCGGCGCGCCGCTGGGCACGGTGCTGCCGACAGAGGAGGACGGCCTGCGGTCGACGAGGGTCGTGCAGCTGCCGCGCATCCTGTCGGTGCTGACGCGCCAGGCGCACCTCATCGGCAACGGCATGCCGAACGAGTACCTCCGGGAGATGGAGCGGGTGCGCGACCTCGAGGGCTTCGCGGCCGTCGTCTACTCGAGCAACTGGGAGAACGAGGTCATGCGGGACCAGAACCTTGCGGCGGGCGTGGCCGAGGCCAAGGACGGCGCCAGGCCGGCGGCGGCGGCGGCGTCGGCCTCGGCGTCGGGCGAAGAGAGCATCGTGCTTGTCGATCGCCAGCCGAGCCTCGAGGATGCCTGGAGCAGGGCGCAGCAGAAGTGAGTAGAGTGGGGGGGGGACCAATAACAAAAACGCCGTTGTACCAATATAATGCCTGCCGTGCGTGTCATGCACCTGGTGAATGCCATGGTGAAGTGAGGTGCCTTGTGATCCACAGTCGTCCAGGCCGTCTGCCAGGTGTGTGGAAACTGTCATCCAGCTAGATGTCGCTTTTGCCGCGTGAGAATCTTTGCCGCGTGAGAACTCCCGTGTCGCCGGAGGCATACTTTTCTAGCTCAAATCGATGCCGACACTTTGAACAGGCTTCTGCATGTCTGGCCTTATGGGAAAGGAAGACCAAGTCAAGGCGTGACAGTCAAACCAAGACATCCACACAGCACCAGATGACGATGGCACAAGAAATTGAGCTCCAGAAAGTCTGAATACAGATTGAGCAGTTAAGCAGGGCCAAAACCAGCCTCTATAAATGAAAAAGAAAAAAAATAACATGAAAATGTAACGCTACAAAATCTATCGCCGCCAATGTCAAGATGATCGTAATCTCGCGGCACCCAGCACCGCAGGGTTTCATGCAAAGAAGACATCTTGCCCGCCACACCAAGCCGCTGCCAGCTCCGACGACCACGGGCACCACACCACAGGCACCACAGGCACCACAGGCCCAGCTCAGCTCAGCTCAGCCCGCGGACAAACTGGTCCAGGCCAAGCTCGAACAGCTCGTTCCGCACGCCGGCGCCGCCCTTGTGCTCGACGGGGGCGAGGGGGTTCTTGACGACGTACTCGACCCAGAGGTTGATGTAGATCTGGTGCAGGACGTTGCGCATGCTGAGGGCGCCCGTGTCGGTGAGCATGACGAAGCGCAGGTTGGCGGGGGTCTCGTAGTAGTGCAGCTTGTAGGTGGCGGTGCGGAAGGAGATGAAGGCGTCGTCGTCGCCGCCGAGCTTGCGGGCCATGTTGCGCAGGGAGAAGACGGTGCCGAAGACGAGCTTGGCGTCGTCGCTCGAGGAGGCGTGGTGGTGGGGGTGGACGGGGGCCGGGGCCGGCGGTGGTGGTTGCTGCTGTTGTTGCTGTTGCTGTTGCTGTTGCTGTTGCTGGTGTTGGAGGGCGGTGGTCGAGGTCGAGGATTGGGAGAGGGGCCGCGAGGGCGGTGGGAGCCAGGCTTTGGAGTAGACGCAGTCGGCTTTGGATTGGTGTTAGCATAGGGGAGCCAGAGCTGGGGGGTGAGGAGAGGGGGGCGATGAGAGCCAGAGGATAGCCAGGGAAGGAGGCCCAGAGGAGGGATGGAAGAACGTACTGTGACGGTCAAAGATGTATATTGAGTAGACGGGCATGGTGACGGCGAGCTATGGCTCTCTGTTGGCTGCCGCGCCGACGAAATGCGTGGCAAGTCCTGATGCTCGTCCTCTTTGTTTCCGTATCAGGTCTGACAGACTCCAGGGGGGCAGTCAATGGCAGGTGGAAGCTAGGTTGGAGGTCGCAGTGCGGTTCGTGATGGGGTCGCGGATAGGTTGATAGACAGCTCGAGCCCAGGTGTATCGTCGTGGAGAGGCAGTTCGGGGTGTCGTCTCGGTCAGGGTCGGTCAGAGCTGCTCTCAGGGGGGTTGGTGGAGACGCGGGGCACGGGTACTTTGGTGCGGTGCTCAGCTTGCCAGGTACCTCTTGTCAGGTACCGAGAGGTACCACTGGTTTTGGTGGGTGGGGTGCTCGGCTGCTGCCCCCAAGGCTGGCAAAATGAGGGGCAGTCGAAGCCGCCATCACACAGCTGCAGAAGCTCGCGAATCCCAAGCGAATCCCAAGCGAATCCCAAGCGCCATCCCGCTTGCGCTGCCTGTCAGACGAGCTGAAGTGCGCCCAGCTGGCTGTGCAGTGCCAAACTGCAAACTGCCGTGTTTCTTTCTCTCTGTGCTGCTACCTAGGTACCTACCTACCCATCCATATCCACAGCCTTGCCGCCCTTGCCTTCTCAACCTGCCCCCATCATCACTGCTTGACACCTTCCCAAGCCCAACTGCTGACGCTGAGGCCTTCAACTTGCCTTTATACCCCTGCTCCAGCGACACGCGTTCTTTTCCTATTCTTTTTATTTATTTATTTCGTCTTCATTCTTCTTGACTTGCCTCCTTTTTTTTCTCTCGTGCCATTTCATCCCACAGGCACTTTATCCTGTTGCGCAATTCACCCCTCCCTCCTCCCTCCTCCTCCTCTTCCAACATCACCAACAGTACAATGGCCGCTCCCGAGATACCGGCAGCAAGCCTGTCCTCGCCCGAGATTGCCATTCATAGCGGCGACGGTTTCGATTCCGAGCCTCGTCCACCCCTGACCCCTCACATGTACGTCCAGCCTTCTCGCGAATCCCATGCCTTGGACTGGTCTCACCCTCATCCACCCCGCGCCGCACCCACATCACCGTAGGGCTGCATATGATATTCTGCACCGCCTCAGCCAACCCCGCTGCCCATCTCCACCACTCTTTGTTTCGAGACCACATTCTGGCATCTGATGTGACGTCGTGTCAAACGCAGCTCGGAACCCACAGCACACACCAAGAGCTATCACAGCCCCATGCGCCACCACCGTCGCACACCATCCGCCCACCGCGAGGTCAAGGAGACCCTCGACGCCCGCACAGAGTACCCTGGTGAAGGGGACGAGGGCCAGAACCACCACCGCATCAACCAGTACATCATCAAGGAGGAGATTGGCCGAGGCTCCTATGGCGCCGTCCACCTCGCTGTCGATCAGTTTGGTACCGAATATGTCAGTCATCCGCCGACGATCAGATGGATTTCCAATCTGCTAACCTGCCGCAGGCCGTCAAGGAGTTTTCCAAGGCGAGGTTGCGCAAGCGCATACAGTCGAGCATGCTCCGCCAGGGCCCGCGGCGCCCTCAACGCTTCTCTCGCTCGGGCCTCAATGGACCGCTGTCTCCCCCTGCCACGGCATTCGGCTCGCTTGGCGCGCCCTCCGCTGCAGACGAGAAGGACGCCCTGTTTCTCATCCGAGAAGAAATCGCCATCATGAAGAAGCTGAACCACCCAAACCTCGTTCAGTTGATCGAGGTGCTTGATGACCCCGAGGAGGACTCGCTGTACATGGTGCTCGAAATGTGCAACCGCGGTGTCGTCATGAAAGTCGGCCTCGGGGAGACGGCGACGCCCTACAGTGAGGAGTGCTGCCGTTGCTGGTTCCGCGACCTGATCCTGGGCATCGAGTATCGTATGTGTCCTCTTTGGTGCCCTCTCCTGAATCCCCCCCAGACCTGACTAGCTCCAGTCCACGCCCAAGGTGTCATTCACCGCGATATCAAGCCGGACAATCTTCTTCTGACGGAAGACGAGGTTCTCAAGGTCGTCGACTTTGGCGTCTCAGAAATGTTCGAGAAGCCAGACAGGATGATGACGGCCAAGTCGGCCGGCTCCCCCGCCTTTCTAGCCCCTGAGCTCTGCGTGGCCCGCCATGGTGACGTCTCGGGCAAGGCTGCTGATATCTGGTCCATGGGTGTCTCTCTGTACTGCCTACGCTACGGCAAGCTGCCTTTCAGCCACGACGGCGTCTTGGAGATATACGAGGCGATAAAAAGCGATCCTCACGAGGTGCCAGAAGATGAGAATCCTCACTTGGCAGACCTCCTAAGCAAAATCCTCGACAAGGACCCCCAGAACCGCATCAAGATGGCCGACCTACGGGTAAGCACGCCATCCACCACGGCGGTACATGTGAAGCTAACCACACTCACAGCAACATCCCTGGGTCACCAAGGAAGGCGCCGACCCCCTGCTCTCGGAAGACGATAATTGTGCGATGCTTGTCGACCCCCCTAACGAGCTTGAACTGAACCGCGCCTTCACCAGGAAGATGAACCATCTCCTCTGCGTCATGAAGGCCATCCAGAAATTCAAAGTCGTCCTAGCCCGGCACCGCGCCAACGCCGCCAGCCGCAGAGAGGACGCTCTGCTGCCTGCCCCCGAGGAGTCCGATTTCGACCCGGCCGAGGCCCGCGCCCGCGCCGAGGAGATTGAGGCTCTCGTCGAGCGCCGTCGCAATTTTATCGCCCGCCACAACTCGAGTCGCGGCACCGGCGACGGCAGCAGGGCCGCGTCTCCACGCCCCGAGGCGGTTCCTGAGCTCTTGACCGAGCTGGAGCCCCTCTTCCTCGGCATCGGCACCGGCGCGCGCGACGAGTACGGCGAGCCCTTGACTACCGACACGGTGGCCGAGTCCCCGACGAATGCCGACTTTAACGTCTACGACCGGGCGTACGAGGAGGAGGTGCAGCGCATCATGGCCAATCCGGCGAGGAAACCGACAATGTACCTAACACGTTTTGTCAAGGACAGGGAGAATTACCGCACAGTGGCCAACGTTGTGGACGGCACGGGAGGACACGGCCCGGGTCCTGAGGAGGGTAAGGGGCGGTTCGCCGACTTGGTGACGAGGCTGGGGCAGGCGGCAAGGAGCAAGGAGGAGGGCAGGTAGCGCGCCTGGGCAGACAGTGGTAAGGGCGAGGTCGCTGGTATACTTCATCAGGCCAGTTACTTGCCTGACGTAGGAGTCGCCCAGGGCAAATGGCGGACCCTCCACCTCTGGTGTGGCTGACTCAT